CATTATCCCTGTTTTACACACTAAAAGGTAAACCAGAGGTTGTTGCACACCCACCATGATGCAGCACATCTGTGGCAGAACCAGCTCTAATAATGAGGAGAGGAAGGGTTTTGAGCACAGTAGTTCTGCAGCATGACTAGTGAGAATGTTCCTGGCACTGTTACTTACTACAGTTGCTGGACTGTTTCTTTTACAAAACCCCCTTCTCTTCAAATCAAAACAGCACCTCAAAAGCAATCTTGAACAAGTTTTATTATAAGCTTTATCTTGTAAAATCCGGTGTATAAGAGCCTTTTGAGCTAGTTTATCTTAAAAAAAACAAATCAAAACAGCATATGCTAAAGGAGACAGGAATAGCTGGAAGGTAATACAATCCATACATCACAATTTACTCAAAAGGTCACAGTAATGACTCTCAGAAGCTGTTTAAAAACCAATCAAGATTATTTCAGTAAAGGGTATATAAACCACTGTTATATGTTCAACATTTTAGCATAAATGGGTTCCTACCCCTTACTCCAATTCTAAGTTCTCTGGTCACAATCCCCACATTCATTTAGCCTGCTCTTCTCCATCCCATTCCTCCCCAACTGGTGAAAGCCAGCACTTGTGGCACTCATGGCAATTCACGGACACACTGACAGACACTGTCATCACATTCATTTATAGTCTTAAATTATAAGGAACTAGCAGCAGTTCATAAAGCAGCTTATCTGTCAGTCACAGGAAAAGATGAGCGCACACCACCCTTCCACAGCCCCCACTCGTCAAAGAATCACACCGTAAAAGTCTCTATGTTGCCCAAGGAAAACACAAAAACCCCAGATTCTTGCCAAAATGCATGTACCGGATTCACCTCGGCTGACAGACATAAACACCGAAGTTATGTCAACCAAGCAAAGGTGCCTTTTGTCAGAGCAGGTGATCTCAGCCTGTCAAAGCGGTTCGGCACTATGGAGGGTAAAACTTCAAACCTACTGTAAACCTAAAGCTGAACTTGCTGGTATTTCACACAAAATGTGAAGCCCCCTTTGTGTTTCCAAGTTTGCCTGGCCATTTCCTTTGAGCGAGTTAAGCATGGTCATGCCAGCACCAAGACCAGAGGCATACCACAGCTATTAACTTACAACTGCATCAATTACATGCTCTTTTGAAGACATCAGCTTGCTGAAACTGAAGTTTTAGCCCTCATGAAAAGCAATTTCTGGATGTGCTCATCTCAAGTCTCACAGAGAAAGCACACTGTGTGTCAGGCCAGGTCATAGAAGCTCTCTTGCTTCTGGGCCAGTTACTCCAAATTCAGGCTTCTGCAACACTCCCAAACACCCCTGAAGACCAGTAGTCTGGATCACTGAAAAGAGAATTCACACTGATCTTACTGCACTATCTAAAGAAAACATGGGTTTACTAGTATGATATGCATCTAGTCGCTGTGCTGTTCTCAAAGGAAACCAACAGACAAGCCTTTCTTTGATCAACACGCTTACTGAACAGAACAGATTCTAACATTATATAATAGAAACCAAATAAACATAAGCAGACATAATGGATTCATTACTGATTAGAGAAAATGTGAAGTGTTTAATCATTCATCAATCTATTCTTACATGCATGGTAAACTGTACTCAGCCAAAAAAAGAATGTAAACACAAAGTTCAGACCTGTTACACATGTCTTGAGAACGACTAAAGCTTTCTTGTTATTTTTAACTTAAATGTGATCCTAACTTCGGTTCATGAAGAAAATTAACAGACTGGCTAAATTATTTTGGGGAAAATAGTCTAATAATTTCTAATAGTTATGTTATTTTGATTAATATCATAGAATCCCAGACTGGTTTGGGTTGGAAGGGACCATACAGCTCATCCAGTTCCAACCCCCTGCCACAGGCAGGGCTCACATTCATGTGGGTTGCTCATATATAAAATCCAAACCCCAAACCAAAAATCTAACACATCTCCCCACAGGCTAGAAGTTAAAACTGGTACTATGTTGAGAAGGAGGAATACACACTCTAAGAGCTGTTAGAAAAAAAAAGAGAGATGATACTGAGAGGGAGAAAACCAGAAATAACATCTCAATTCTCACAGGCTAGTACGGGGTACAATATGTTTCAACATAATGTGTGTGACTACAATGAATAATACAGCTATTTGTGCTTTCCGTACCACTTCATCTGCCATAAGCTTCTGTGGAATGGAAAACTACTTGCTGTTTAACCACCTCAGTAATAGCTGTAGTTTATTAAATTAGTTCTAGATTTATTTGCAGAATAAAACCCCCAAGAATATATAATTTTTCTCCCTTTTAGACTTCAAAAGCTGCTGTCTTGTACTGCAATATTAAGCCAAAAAAAGCCCAGGAAGCAACCCCAGGTCTTAAGATTTTTACAGGTGTAACTCCTACAAAAATAGTGTTCTGCATACATGTGCAGGAGTTGACAGATGCTCATATGCACTGAATCCAATCACTAAATCGAGGCCTGAATTTATATAGCTTCATGTAGCAAGACAGAATCATAGAATCCCAGAACAGTTTGGGTTGGAAGGGGCCTTAAAGCTCATCCAGTTCCAACCTCCTGCCATGGGCAGGGACACCTTCCACTAGACCAGGCTGCTTAAAGCCCCATCCAACCTGGTGTTCAACACTCAATCCTTCTGAAATGCCAACTTTGTGCAGTCATTTGCCTCTACTGAGATGTTTTGGTTTCCCTCCCATGGGTTAACGAGAACATGAGTCAAAGCAGAAAAGAACATGAGTGGCAAAGGAAACTATAAAGCCTAAATTTTATCAGACATACAAGCTGAAATAATAGGGGGAAAAAACATTCCTCTTAGTCAGAGCTGTCAAAGTGTCATTTGCAATAGGAAGAAGAGGGGAGAAGAAAGCGCTTCTCTGAAGTTTACACTGACAGCTTCTCTTGAAATATCACACTGACAAGCCAGATAGTCCCAATCATAAGATCTGATAGGAAAATCCACCCTCTTGGTGGGTACAGAGATCTGAAAGCAAACAAGCAGAACTCTCACTCACTCCCAACCCTTCCCTGGAAAGGTCAGAAACCAGCTCCCCATTGCTTCTATCACTGAAGTTAAAGAGCGATTCCTCTTCTGCACAGCACACATGCCATCCCGCAGATCACCTCACTCCACAAGCACACACCATCAGCTTCTATGAGCTAAGAGACTAACCCAGTTAATTCAGTAAACAGGATCATGGATCTTTATTCTGCAAGACCGGATTTCAATACAATGAGGCTAGGGATGATCTGTGCACGTGTAGCTATGCAGAAGATACGTGCTTGTATTCTTCATATCCATGTTTGCAGATACATGCACAGATGTACACAGAAAGATGACATTTCTGGCACAGGAAATCATCAGGATACTGTTCACTGAAGCCTGGAAGGGTACATGAGTCTCCCTGGTTATAAGACACGTGCTTAGGTATTTGCTATTACTGACCGCTTCTTGAGACAGAGCCTATGCAAGGTGGTCCTTTGGTACAGCACGGCAGGCCACTCCTGTGTTCTCATCCCCATGAGCTCCATAGACTGCACACTATTAATTAACTCTTTCCATATGAGCACTCTGGGAAGTTTTGGAAAGGGCCTGGAGGAGGAAAAGGCTTTACAGCTAAGCGCTCCAACACTGTTCCAGGCAGCAGGGAAAGCACCGAGAGTCTGTCTGCTGGCTGAGCAGGTCAGAGTTCTGCGAGAGGATGGAAGAGAGACTAGAGAAAGGCAGACAAGGAGAAAGGAGAAAAACTAGGAAACGCTAGTGTTCTGCAGCATTTCTGTCTACTTCACATCTTTCTACTGTGCTTAGAACAGAACTACGATTTATGAGTTAAAGACCTCATTTTGGCAATATTTGAACTGGCTTCACCCCTACTGCAGAATTTATACTCAGCTTACCCAAATAAAGCGGTACATAAAGTAACACCCAGACTGTGCAAACAGTCCCAAAAAATTAGACAGTCATTAGTCACTCGGATTATGCAAGACGGCACAAGAGAAGGGGGGGGGGGGGGAACCGTGATCCTGACGGTAGCCACACATTCCTGGGATGCCAAAGAAAAGCCCGGGTGCTCTTCACCTTGCAGCGGTCGCAAGGAGCGCTCGGAGGGGACACCCCAGGGACCCACAAGTGCCCGCAGCCCCCCCCCTAAGGCAGGCAGGCTCCCGGGGGGGCTCCCCCAGGGCTGACAGGAGGCCGGCCCCGGGGCAGGCCGCAGCTCACCTCGGTCTCCACCACTTCGTGGTAAGCGGGCGGCGGGTCGAAGCCGCCTCCACCGCCGCCGCCGCTGTCGCCGTCGCCGCCGCGGGGACCCTGCCCGCCGGCGGGGGAGCCGTGCCCGCCCGGCGGGCCCTGCCCGCTCTCCATGGGCTCATAGCCGCCGTAGTGGAGGCCGGGCCGCTCGTTGGTGAGCAGAGCCACGGCCTCGTTGATGTCGTTCTTGGCCAAGCGCAGGGCCTTGCGGATGGCGGCCGCGTCCGAGAAGCCCATGCAGAGCAGCGTGGTCATGTGCTGCTCCTCCTCGCTCTCCATGGCCGCGCCGGGCCGGGGGAGCGGGCCGGGGCCGCGAACCGAGGGTAGCCGGGCTCAGGCGCTGCCCGCCCCGCGCGCCGCCATGTTGACGGGAGCGCCGCGCCTCTCCCCTCAGCCGCCGCCGCCGCGGCCGGGCCCCCCCCCCGGAGCGCGCCCCCTCCGCCCCGCCCTCAGCCCCGGAAGCGGCGGCGAAGCCCGGCTGGGGGAGCGCACGCCGGGCCCGCGTCACGTGACAGGGGCGGGGCGGGAGGCGCAGCGAGGGCATGAATGGACTGGCAAAGGGAGCGGGGGGGGGGGGGGTGTAGCGGCCGTCGCCATAGCAACCAGGGTCACGTGAAGGGGGGCGGTGTTGCCAGGGGAACCGAACCCTCGCTGCGGTTCTGTGGTGGTGCCTCAGTGGTCGGCCCGGGCCTGTGCGGCGGAGCCCGGCCAGAGGGAACGGCGGCCGGCCTCCTGCCCGCTGCCGGTAGTTCCTCCTTTCATTGCGGTCTTTACTAGGGAATGATCCCCGCAGGGGCACGGCCGGCGGGGCGGTGACTGGTTTTCACGGCGAATCACGACAGGCCCTTGAAGGGCGGGAGGAGGAGTTGGTGAGGGGAGGCCGGGCAAGGCGGGAAGGCGGGAAGGCGGGAAGGCAGGGGCTGGTGTAGCCGGAGGTGTCTGTGGGCAGGCGGTGAGCAGGTGTCGTCTGAGGTGATGAGGGTGGGTTTTAACGAGAAACGAAGGGCTGGCTGCTGCTTAAGGCTCCAGCTGCCTGGGCTGGGGATGGAGGAGGTGAGTGGTAGCTTGTGGGGCTGGTCTGAATGGAGCTCACAGGGGTGTAATAAGAAGCTGGGGTCTGGCTGCAGTCCGAAGGGCTGTTGTCACTGCCTGCTTCCAGGTTGTTTATTTGTAGAAATGTGACTTTTAAATGTACAATACAGTCGAGATGCAGATCTCCAGAGGAAGCCATGAAGATGCTGCAAGGGCTGGAGTAGCTCTGCTCTGAATCTAGCCTGAGAGAGCTGGGCTGGTTCAGCCTGGAAAAGAGAAGGTTCCTTAAGGAGAAGCCTTAGAGCAGCTCCAGTGCCTAAAGGGGTTACAAGAAACCTGGAGAAGGGCTTTTGGCAAGGGCCTGTAGGGACAGGACAAGGGGAATGACTTTAACCTGCCAGAGGTAAGATTGAGATGAGATATTGGAAAGAAAGTTTTCATTATGAGGTTGCTGAGGTGCTGGCACAGGGTGCCCAGAGAAGATGTGGCTGCCCCATCCCTGGCAGTGTTCCAAGGCCAGGTTGGACACAGGGGCTTGGAGCAAGCTGCTCTAGTGGAAGGTGTCCCTGCCTGTGGCAGGGGTTGGAACTGGATGAGCTTTAAGGTCACTTCCAACCCAAACCACTCTGGGATTCTATGATTGTAAATCCATACAAAATGGACTGCAACCAGATATAAAAATAAAAAAACTTATTGGTAGTGCCCAATGCAGAATATAAGTTGTGTATTTCTTAAATACACTTAGTGAATTCTGGTACTGCGCGAGATTTGGTATATCTGGATCTCTGTCAGACTCCCTGGCAAAATTTAGCACCTCATTTTAACAATATGTTTTCTATGTCCAGAGAAGAGGAGGAAGGAGGAGACGTGTCAAGATTTGTCAAGGTCAGGACTGGTATTTGCATGGATGCATTTGTCTTCAGAGGTTCATGTTTTCTGATAAATTATTTTGTGTTAACAGTGGCTGACAACACTAAAAGCACTGGGGTTAGGAGTCTAGAAAGAGCTGTCTGAAGTCTTAGATACAAATCACATTCAGCATAAAGGAAACACTCAAGCGTAGGCGACCCCAATAGTATTTAGGTGTCTAACCTACATTAACTATCAGAGCTCAGTGTCTCTCTGTTTCTGCTCCTGAATTTTTCTGTGGAAAGAGAGAAAACTAATGGATCACTTTGGACTGGCAGGGTTTTGGGTTAACTTTCAGATTGTAGTATACCACCGGTGGTCTCATATTCCTTATATAATAACCCCCAAAGTAATCACAGTTCCTTCATCTTGCTCATTCATCTCTCTTTTTCTGTTTTTTTTTTGGTAGGCTGGCATTCAGTGGAATGGATGTAATGCACATCTGGCTCTGAACTTCAGCTTCTAGATCTACGGAAGGCCTTTCATTCATGCTGATCTCCAGTTATAAAAGAAACAAGAATTTGTTATGGCTCAAGCTTGGCTTCAGCAAAATTCCAGCCCTTCAAATGCATTCAGTTAACGTGCTGAATATTGACTCACTGCTTACTCACGTGACCCACATTTAAATTACACTTTCTCATTTTTGTAGCATATCATAAATAATGGTTTAATCCTCACAGCCTGATGAAGTCAGTTGGCATCGTTTTTCCTTGCTAATGGAAGAAAAGTTTGTAGGATAAAGTAAGATATTTTATTAGATGTCATTATTGCTTTCAGCTTTATTTCAAGGAAGTGCTCCTGTAAATTTGAGCTGAGCTAAGTAATGAAAACATACCAAAAGTAATGGAGGAACTGATTGCAATCCCAGGTGGCTAAGAAAGAAGAGAGTGCTATAACATTGAGTCACCTGTGCTTTATAGTCCAGCTGTTCTGAAGGAAGTTTGAAGGGAATTTGACTTTGCCAATATTTAAGGGTGACACTTGGACACAACAGCTCAGCATAACTGACAGGGGTACTGGTCCTAAAATTAGTCTGTGCTGACTTCACTTACAGCATCTCTCTTGAGACTGCTTAAAGGACAAGATTGTATGTTCCAGCTTAGTGGAGGAATGGAGGTGCACCTTTTCCACAAGCTATTCAGCCTGGAAGTCCCAGTTTCCAAATGTTTTTCCTGCATTGTCACTTCAAGAAAAGTTGCAGGGAGGAGCATAGCAAACTTGGCTAACAGAGAACAAGAAAAGCAGTGAGAGAGTCTTTCCTTATGGGGCACCAGGAGGCATAAGGGAAGGACAGAAAGTAGAGAACAATGATCCTCAAGATCTGCTGTTGGAGTTTGTGCTGTGTGATTGCCAGTTTGATATGACACATAGTCCTGGGTTCACTAGTTACTTGATGGTGTCACTTCATGGAAAGTAGTGACTTTGTACAGAACCCATCATATGTGTATCCTGACACACATCTGGACACGAGAAACCCTCGTGTTACAGAAAAGACATTTTGGAACAGAAACAACTGTTTTGGTAAGTGGCCATGCTGGGACATCAAACCTGGCTCTTTGGGTTGACCGTGGTGGTGTCAGCCTAAAAATAGGGCTTGATGGAGGATTGCAGTGATGCTTTTGCAGGGATGTTACAGTAGGACTGTTCAGTTAATTTGTCTTTTTAGCTGAAAATGCTTTCATGCTTCTCTTCGTAAGCCTGTTTTAAAGCCAGACCTGTGCTTATAGTGCTCTCACTATTTAAACAGCAAATAACAGCATTTTCTCTCAAAGAGAAACAGCTGTATTATTCTAGTGGAACATACAGATGCAGCCAAACTAAGAGCTGACTCTGTGTCTTGTTGAACTTGAAGGTTTCCCTTGTTGTTTACAGCTGTTGGGGAATTCCAACCATAATCTCAGACGTAATTGGAAAACATCCTTTGCCACCCTGATTTTGTTTCCTCCTTGGCTGTAACTTTGCAGCCGTAATTGTTACATATATACCCTGAGACTTTGATTGAAGAGAATGTAATTTATTATGTTGCCACCAAATCTTTAATTTATGTCTTTTACTCAAGGAGTATCTTTATCATATCTTTCCCTTTTTTTGTTAGAAGTGCCGTAGGTATATACTGTCAAGGAAAGGTTAGTAGAGATAAAAGTTACTGTTCATAAATCTTTTATAAATAATAACTAAATAAGGGAAATCAGGACAAAATTTAGCGACAGGGCTCCACCACTATATGGTACATAAACACAGAAGGAGTTGTGTGAAAACTGGTGTTGCAGTAGCTAGAATAAACTCCTTCGCAGTTGCTGAATGAAAGAGGAGTGGGTGTGAGCCTATGTGAAACCCTGCTCCTTCATTTGGAAGCAAGAGCACTCTCACTGATGTCAATGGTTTGGGATTAGGCACCTGATATAGTTGGATCTCAGGTCCCTGCCCACCTAAACATGCCAAGCACAGAGGAACAAGTTTATGAAAGTTTCCCTAATCTTACGGTTTGGATGGGCAAGGCACTTCTTTTGGTATAGCAGGCTGTTGGGACAAAGGAATTCTTTGCTACCTGAAGAAAGAGTATCTGAGATGTCACAGAATCCAGCTTTTGTACAGTATTGGGAAGAATTAGTTTAGGTTTTCTGGAATGACTTTATCTTTCCTTCCTTCCTTTTATTCCTTGTCCCACCCAGTCTCTTCCAGTTTCCTGCTTCTGATTTATTGATAGCTAAATGTAATAGGTGGGTTTTAAGAAAGTGCATATCCCCCTGAATTACTGAAAATTATGTTTCTTACCTGTGCATATTGATGGATGGTGTCTGGTTGCCTTTAGCAGAGGGGTTGAAAGTATTTGTGTGTGAAGAACTATGTAACCCACCTGAAAAGCACAGCTGCAATGGCCTGATAACTAAGTAGATGTACTGATGCATTCAACTCCTCAGGTAGCTGTGCAGCTTCACACCAAAGATTTTAGCAGGCACAAGAAGTGTGTGAGTCTGTTCAGAAGCACCAACTAAACAGATTTATGCAATAGACCTTTAGACTTTGTCTATGCTAGGAGTTTTTTGCTGCCTTCACAGCTTTTGGCTTGCTAGAAAGGAGATTTGTGCTGGGGTAACTGCCAAGGCAAAGCCTGCTGTCAGCGGTGATTTGCAAAGAGGCAGTTTACCTTAGTTTCAAGCTGGGATTCATGTACACTAGTAGTCATAATTATAATATTTAGCTCTAATTCAGTGCTTATGAGATGAGTATCTAACTAGCCTTCTAGGAGGATGGAGGAGTATCATTAGCTCCTCAACGTTGATTTTTACAACTGCTTCAAACTGTAGTGGGGCTGAAAGGGAAAGAAGAAAGGTGAACAGATCTCGTGGCGTTGATGTGCCTCCTCCAGAAAGTCTGTCCCTGTTGTTATTCTTGTGCCCAAAAGGAACAGGAGCTGAACCATGACTGTTTTTTTCTGTGGCAGGAGCTGAGTACCCCCTAGTCTCCTGAATACAAAAATGAAGTTTCATGCTGTTTCCCTTGAATGGAACAGCATGATGTGAGTGTGAAAAGAGTGGAACAGTATGTTAAGGGAAACAGGACTGAAAGGAGAGAGCAGCTGACTCCAGGGGCTGAGCAGATCTGCCCCCTCTGCTTCACTGTATGGGCTTGTTTTCAGCTCTTCAACTCGGACCGTTTCGTGGGTCTCACAACACATCTCCTCAGCTCTGGCCTGGGAAATGAAACAATTGTAAGGAAGTTGTTCATTCTTCCTGAAACAAGCTGTGGCAAATGAAAGCTAGGGCTGAACTTCAGAACAAGCTGAAAGCACTAAGATGCAGAAATGCAGGGTGAAGCCATTCAATTGAATCAGTTTTGGAACAGAGCCCTGAAAAAACCTGCAGTTATGACTAATCCATTTTAAATGTGTGTGGTTGTAGGTAAAATCACTTCTCTTAAAGATCATTTCTCTTCCTATGTTGATTACAGTTCTTCACTGTCATTTTGGATGACTGATGTGTTGACATGTGAGTTCACTATCAGATGAACTGCACTGACAGAATTATTTCTGGAGCTGGAGTGGCTGAACTGCTGGTGAAGGGGAGAAACAACACAAACAGGATATTCAGCACCCTGAGACCCACCCAGGGGCAAGCACGTGAATGCTTCCTTGAGCCAAGTTAGCTTAGGAAACTTGACTGCAAAGATCAGTTTGTGCAGGGACATGCTCTTGCAGTGACATTTTTAGGAGTGAAACAATCTGAAATAGAAACTTCTGGTGTTCTTGTTGCACTTTAACAAGTCTGTCAGGCACCACACAGTTTTACAGGGTAGTCTTTAGATGCTTTTATTTTGTCCTGAACTTGTCCCAGCCTCGCTTGCTGATCCCTTCTCAGAGAACCCTCTGATGCTGTGATACAGAGCCGCTGATGTTAACACACTGCATTAAGGAGGGGAGATGTTGTGTGTGACATGGTGTTGGAGTGTCACGGCTGTGGGGATACCAATCCAACATTTATAGACTGCAGTCTTATCAGTAGAGCTGTCAATAGGTGCATGAGTTCAGTTCAAACAAGCAAGAGACCATGGGGGGGAACAACATGGAGACTGTTTTGGCAGGTGGGAAACAGTACAGTGAATCCAGTGCTCTTGGGATATGCCCAATTTACAGACTACATCAGTCTAACTAAGGGCAGTGCAGTGTGGTGGCAGTGCTTTTAGTAACACGCAGTACTCTGAGGGTGAAGGCTGTTTTCTGTAGAGTGTGTGTGTATGTATCTGATATCCAGGAACAAAAGCAGTTGGCGTTTCCCTGGTGTGGGATGAAATGTGGTGCAGTGTGATAGAGCAACAGGGAACTCCTGGCTGGCTTTTTTTGCACTGCGCAGATTCCTTTTGAATTGGGTTTTGACCTCTAAAGCAAGACCTGCTTCTTCAGTTTCTCATTGTCTAAATTATGTGTTAAAGCTTGAGAAACAAGTCTGTGAAGCTGGGGGATTTTTAAGCTCTAATTAGAGAAAAAAATAAAAGAACAGATAAGAAAGAGACTGCTGAGGGAGAGAACCAAATGGAAAACATTTTACAGATCTGGTGCCTTTTATTTCACTGTTCCACAGCAATGCAGTGGGAGCCCAGCCTGTGTGGTGCTGGGCTGAGATCAGCACGAACCCCTGGTTTTTATTAAAGACTAGTCTATAACTGTCCTGGTCTTAAGAGGCACCTCTACCTCCTGATCAAAGCACCACCTTGTTTGCCCTCAGTGCTGTGGAAACCCAAGGTCATGTTCTTGCTGCCAGGGTTTTGTACTGGGTAGGGCACAGTAGCTGGTTCGTACCAGCAGCCCTATGCAGAAGTTTGGAGGTGGGAGAGGTGAAAACCACTATCCTGACTAAAAAAGTGGGTTTTTTTTTTTTACTACTACTATTGCTTCAGGTGTATTTGCACAGGATTTCTTGATTTCTCAGTCAGTCAGATTCTTTTGTTTCATGTAGATTGTTAAGTGCAGGCTGAAACTGAAAGCCAGTGCTGGATGGGAGGGAGACAGCAGCTTTGGTGCGCCTGAGGAAGGTCTTAGTACTGTGCCTAGGGATCTGCAGGTGGGACTACAGGGGAGGAGGAAGCACAGGATTATATTTGGTTCAAACACAAGGCTCAGCTTTCCAGAAATATCAAGAGGTCCTTCAAGGCTGTGAAAGCCTAAAGCCTCAGATTTCTCCTGCCTCATCTGCCTGCTGGCACACAGAGCCTTGTTGTCCCTTTGTTGCATTTGATCTGTCAGTGACTCATTTGAAGGCTCTCTATCTTCACCAGCAAGGTGCTTCAGGGCTGAGTCGCACCCATGTAGCAGCTCTGTTACACTGTTATCAGCTACTCCTTTCACTCCTCTGGTGCTCCCAGCCTTTGATCTGTTACCATACTGCAGCAGCAACTTCCCTTGTTTCTTAATGCTGCATTACATTGTGCAAGGCCATCACCACTCCACAAATGCGGCAGTCTGCTGCCTCTGCACCGCTCTCACAAGTGCATCCATGCTTTTTCTAGAAAGCATGAAATAAACTCTTGTTCCCCTCAATCCTCAAATAATCATAGTGGAAATTACTATGAGATGGCAATTTTCATCAGGCACTACCTGGAGGTATAATGATATAGTTAATTCTCCCCTTCCTTCTCCCAGTTGCATTTGTCTGGCTGCTGCAGGGGCTATACTGCCATCCATCCAGCACCTGGTGCTGTGGGCTCAGACTGGTCTGTAAATCCTAGTGCTACTGAGCAGTGATGAATCTTGACCTCCAGCAGGAAGTCCCCTTTTGCTGGCCAGGCTGGATTTTGTTTAAT